TTCCTCCGTTACATTGATGACTGTATCGGTGCCGCCTCGTGCTCCCACGAGGAGCTCGAACAGTTCATACACTTCACTAACACCTTCCACCCCAACCTTAAATTTACCTGGACCATCTCTAACACCTCTCTCCCCTTCCTGGACCTCTCTGTCTCCATATCGGGCAACCACCTCGAAACCGATATTCATTTCAAGCCCACCGACTCCCACAGCTACCTAGAATACTCCTCCTCCCACCCACCTTCCTGCAAAAATGCTATCCCCTATTCCCAATTCCTTCGCCTCCGCCGCATCTGCTCCCAGGATGAGGCATTCCACTCCCGTACATCTCAGTTGTCCTCGTTTTTCAAGGACCGTAACTTCCCCTCCTCGGTGGTCGAGAACGCCCTCAACCGTGTCTCCCACATCTCCCGCACCTCATCCCTCACACCCCGTCCACGCAATAAAAACCAAAAAAGAATCCCCCTCGTCCTCACGTACCACCCCACCAACCTCCGGATCCAACGCATCATCCTCCGACACTTCCGCCATCTGCAATCCGACCCCACCACCAAAGACATCTTTCCCTCCCCACCCTTATCTGCTTTCCGGAGGGACAACTCTCTCCGTGACTCCCTTGTCCGCTCCACACTCCCCTCCAGCTCCACCACACCCGGCACTTTTCCCTGCAACCGCAGGAAGTGCTACACCTGCCCCCATACCTCCTCCCTCACCCCCATCCCAGGCCCCAAGAAGACTTTCCACATCAAGCAGATGTTCACCTGCACATCTGCCAATGTGGTATACTGCATCCGCTGTACCCGGTGTGGCTTCCTCTACATCGGGGAAACCAAGCGGAGACTTGGGGACCGCTTTGCAGAACACCTACGCTCGGTTCGCAACAAACAACTGCACCTCCCAGTCGCGAACCATTTCAACTCCCCCTCCCATTCCTCAGACGACATGTCCATCCTGGGCCTCCTGCAGTGCCACAACGATGCCACCCGAAGGTTGCAGGAACAGCAACTCATATTCCGCTTGGGAACCCTGCAGCCCAATGGTATCAATGTGGATTTCACAAGTTTCAAAATCTCCCCTCCCCCTACCGCATCCCAAAACCAGTCCAGCTCGTCCCTGCCTCCCTAACCTGTTCTTCCTCCCACCTATCCCCTCCTCCCATCTCAAACCGCACCCCCATCTCCTACCGACTAACCTCATCCCGCCCCCTTGACCTGTCCGTCCTCCCTGGACTGACCTATCCCCTCCCTAACTCCCCACCTACACTCACCTTTACTGGCTCCATCCCCGCCTCTTTGACCTGTTTGTTTCTTCTCCACCTATCCTCTCCTCTATCCATCTTCTATCCGCCTCCCACTCTCTCCCTATTTATTTCAGAACCCCCTTCCCCTCGCCCTTTTCTGATGAAGGGTCTAGGCCCGAAACGTCAGCCTTTCTGTTCCTATGATGCTGCTTGGCCTGCTGTGTTCATCCAGCCCTGCACCTTGTTACCTAAAATATTGTGCACAGTTTTGGTCTCCTTTTCTGAGGAAGGATGCTCTTGCTCTCAAGGGAGAGCAGCGAAGGTTTACCAGGCTGATTCCAGGGATGGTGGGACTGACGTATGAGGAAAGATTGACTAGGTTAAGATTGTTTTCACTGGAGTTCAGATGAATGAGGTGGGAATCTCATACAGACTTATAAAATTCTAACGGGATTAAACAGGGTAGATGCAGGGAGGATGTTCCCGATGGTGGATGTGTCCAGAACCAGGGGGTCACAGTCTTAGGATTCAGGGAAGCCATTTAGGACAGAGATGAGGAGACATTTCTTTACCCAAAGAGTGGTGAGCCTGTGGAATTCATTACCACAGGAAGTAGTTAATGCCAAAACATTGAATGTATTCAAGAGGCAGCTAGATACAGCACTTGGTGTGAATGAGATCAAAGGTTATGGGGAGAAAGCAGGAGTAGGCTATTGAGTTGGACGATCATCCATGATTGTGATGATTGGTGGAGCAGGCTCGAAGGGCCGAATGGCCTCCCCCTGCTCCTATCTTCTATATTACTATGTATGTAATATTTGCACCTCCCATGTGTTTGACAATAAGGTTGCAAAGAAAAAGTAACCCAGTTCCCAATATCTGGGGGAGCAAAGAAAATTAGCCAATATTCCCATTCCTCACTGTAATTCAAAAACACCCAGTGAAAAACGTGTACATGAGCACAAAGCAGGCATGGGTTTGGGATCAGCAGACATGTTCACAATGGCAGAATAATTTGGCTGGGTACTCATGTCACATGAAGAGTCACTGGGTGGAACAGTTTCCCTGGAAAGGAAAAGTCTTGCCCTCTCATAGCACCTTTCACAACCTCAGGATGTTCCAAAGTACCTGAACAATCAATCAAGCACTTTTTAAGTGTGGTCTCATTTGGAATGTAAAAATAAACAGCCAATTTGTGCACAGCAAACTCCCACAAATAGCAGTTTAATGATGACCAGATCATTTGTCTGAGATATATTAGTTAAGGGTTTCATTTTTGACAGGGCACTAGGAAAACCTTCCAGATTTTTTCAGATAGTGCCTTGCAATCTTTTGTGTCCACCTGAAAGGGCAGGCCAGGATTTTGTTTAAAATCTCAGTCACAACATGACACATCTGACAACGCAGCACTCCCGATACTACACTGCGGTGTGTCAGCCTGACTCAAGGCAAAAGGAGTAGAGAAAATGAAATGACTGGAGAAATGAAGGGGATTTGACTGTCCATGCGGCCACAGCACAAGGACAGGACAGACCTTTTGCATCGAAGCACTGAGTCAGCCAGTGTTTTCCAAAAACCACATCCATCCTCTCCCCATGCCGACAGACATACAGATCCCGCTTCTGTGGACAGGTCCGGGAGTTTTTGGACACCATCTGTGACAGACAAAACACATGATCATTTCTCAATGACAGTGCAGGACGACCAGCAGTTCAATCAAAAAATACAGGGAATGCAAAAGCTTTTGTGATCTTCTTTGCTGCAGGAAACAATACGACTTTTATCTGGGTCCCCTTTCACACAGAGATATTTCAGTGATCTGCTTGTGGATTGACCCAATTAAAGATGACACACTTGAATTAAAAAGTATAGCTTGGCCTCCACATTCTGTCCTAGATTCCAATTTGACCTAAATGCAATTTCCCAGTAGATTCAGAGTGGTATGCTTTGTGAAGTTTTTCAGCATTCACTTTACTAATTTCTCCCACTGTGATATACTCTGATTTGTGTAGACAGATAATGCCACCTGTTAGTTTTCTGAGATTTGTGCCAGAGCTTTGCTGGGAAGGTTAAAAATTAAAATTGGGCAACGGGGAGGCTATTGAAAAAAAAAACAGTGGGTCTAGTAACTTTGCAGCCACGTCCTGTAAACACTGACAATGAGAATTCCAGTGGACAGCTGAACCTGCTCTGGCCACTGGCCTGCCTCTTGAGAGAGGGAGTGGGTAATATTGCCTAAGTGGGTCTCTCACAGGTGAAAGAGAGAAAGTTTGCCTTAATTGAATAATATACCTGCAAAGTGAGCCTGGTTCTTCCTCCCGGAGTTGGAGGCAAACTTCCATCCCTCCCTGCACTCTCATCCACCTATCTCCCAGTATCCCTCATCTTCCCAAAATGTCCAACATTCATTCCACAGATTTCACATTATTGATCCTAGGCCCCAATGAGTTTTGAATAGCGGACAGGGAGGTTGGGCAGGGGCGCCTGACAATATTTGTGAGATTGAGACATATCTGTATTCATCATTAGTTTTATGTTGTTTCTCATGTTTGTTTCAAAATGTTTATCCAAATGGCAACATTGTTCTTTTCGCAGCTAACTTAGGTCAGTTGGGGAAGTGGGGGTGGGGTGCGGTGCAGGCAGAAGGTATTAGTACTTGTACAACACAGCCCCTCCTGGAAATGTCGTAAAGATGTTCTGATGAGGGGAAAACATTTTGGGCAGTCTAACGTTGGTCCTTGTCATCCACTAGGTGGCGAAAGCATGCACATTTTCTATCAAAGAACTGGGGAGGTCAAAAATTCTACATTTTGATCCAATTCTTCCTTCTAATGTTAAGGCTGAATTCCAGTTGGTTCTAAAAACACTATTTACAAAGGCACAGAAGAGATTTATTAGAATGTTACAAAAGATGAAGGACCTCAGTCACAGTGAGAGACTGCAAAAGCTGGTGTTCTTTTACTAAGAGCGGAGAAGGTCAAATAACGAAGGAGAAACTATTGGCAGTATCAGATGGCTCAAACCAAAGGTTTAAGTATTTGACAAAAGAAGCAAAGAAAAGAGAGAGATAATTTTTTAAAACTCTGTGTTATGATCTGAGAGCAGATTTAACAAGTAGCTTTGAAGAGGGAATTAGAGAAAGACTTGAGGGGAAAATATTATCATGTCTGTAGGGAGAAAGCAAAGGCATGGAATTAACTGGATAACTTTGTCCAAGAGTCAGCATAGGCATGTCTGTGATTATGCTTTTCCCTTGCCCAATTTATGAGGACCAATTTCCTTCCCTAAACATATGATTTGGTCAATATCAGACTGCGTGTAACTGCCACTTGGATTCAGAATTGGATCTCGTGGGGTCTTCCTCAACACCAGGATGTCGCACTCGCTCTTTAGTTTATAGCTTACTGGCATCGGTTGACAGATGACATTCGTTGGCAATGAGAGAGCCTCGCCCGGTCCCTGCTCCTCCTGGCATCTCCTCCGAAAAGCTCTGTCGCATTGGCTGGCACCAGCAGGGGCAGTCGCAGTTAAAAATGAATTAGAGCTAAGCAAACAAAAAGAAAGAGAATACAAGAGTATCCAGATAGATAAGTCAAAACACAATAATGAAGCATTTCTCCAAGCACAGGGACATCACTGATCCAATAAGATATGTTATCAATGTGTAAACATTAACAAATTACCAACAAAGCCATTAAAAACATAAATTAACATTTTATGGCAGTCATAATAGATTTTTGACTAACAAAGAGTCAAGGGGTATGAACTGAAAACAAAAAATGCTCGCAATCACAGTGGGTCAGTCAGCATCCATGGAGAGAAAGCAAGCTAATCTTTTGAGTCTACATGACTCTTCACCAGAACTGAAGTGAAATGTGGAGGGGGCAGCATTTATGCAGTAGTGGAGGGGGGAGGGCTTGGAGTGCTAGGGGAGAAAGGATGTTGTTAGCTCAGATTAAGTTCACAAAACCATATTAACTCTGCTTGATTATTTTGAAATTTTCCAAGTTGTCCTGCTGTAACAACTTTAATAGTAGCTTCTAACATTTGTTGTCTCTCTCCCTTTTTGAATTAAATGAGTTGCATTCTCTAGTTTCCAATCTAATAGAACCTTCTCTGAATCAAGGAAGTTTTGGAAAATTATAACCATGTATCAATTATCTCACTAGCAATTTCTTTTAAGACTCTAGGACCTGGATCTTTCAAAATTTGCTCAGTCACACTTCCCTGGTGATTGTAATTTTCAGGAGTGTGTCCCCTCCCCACTTTTTTACAGTTATTTCTGAGATTTTATTTATACTAATTCTGTTAACACTTTTAAACCATCAATAGAATTTTTTTACATCTGTTATTATATTACAACTAGCCTTTTCTTGTACACTAGCTTCTTTCCCCTCCATACTTATCTTTGCTGCTTTTTATATTTTGTCCAATCTTCTGACCTACCACCCATCTTTACACAATTATATGCTTGTTCTTTAAGTTTGATACTATCTTTTACTTTATTTAGTAAACCACAGCGATTTTTTCTTTGCAGTTGCAATGTAACTATCCTGTATATTCTGAAATATTCCCTTAAATGTCTGGCACTGCATCTCTACTGAACAATCCACAGGCCATTTGTTCCCCAGGAGGCTACGCCACCCTTCAACAAGATCATATCTGATTTCCTACCTCAGCTCCTCTACTGCCATGCTATGCCAGTATCCTTCAATTACCTTTGTTCCCAAAAAGCTATTCATCCTTGCCTTGAATGTACTTCAATATTTTCAGATATCTAAAAGGTAGAGAAAACACAATTTGGAAAGCACAATAAATTGGGAAAGGACTGTTTGTACAAAAGGTCCTAGAGTCTTTTACCCTTAATTGCTCCATTACTGGAGGCCATGAATTTAGATGCTTAGACTCAAACAAGTTAAGGTGCTATAAAAATAAAAGTTATATTCATTGTTGATTCTGATTCGTTGTTACTTTCTTCCCCATTTAGATCACCTAAGTTGCACTTGATGTTGGTGGTAGAAGGTAGCTTTGACCCAGTGACGGTGAAAGAACGCAGATGATTCTAAGTCAGGAAGAGGAATGGTTTGGAGGGGAACAAGCAGGTAGGTGGTGTTCCCATGCATCTGTTGCCGTTGTTCTTCTAGATGGTAATGGTTATGGGTTTAGAAGGTTTTGATTCTCTTTCTGTTGCCTGTACCATGGTCATATTATACAGTCATTGTTCTTTGCAACACAGGCAGCAATATGTCACTTACCCATGGAAGACCCATGTATCAGATTCATCCGCTTTGGCTATGTAGTTCTCTGGAAGTAGCCCTGAGCAGCCTGTTGCCAGGGAGGTGCCATAGATCCAGCCCTCACTTGTGCTGCTCTGTTCAATTGGGCACATGAATATGTAATCGCCCTGCACCAATTCCAACTCATCATCATTCTGAGGTGTGTATGGGTACATCACCCGCAGAGTCTGATAAAGAATGCACAGAGGAAATGATTTCAAAACAGGTTGTAATGTTATAGATCAAGCAAACAAGCCATGAAGAACCCATCCACACACAAAAAAACAATTGTTTACATTTTATTCAGGGCACAGCCAAGACAAACCAATCTCTTCCCTCTCCTAAAGTTGCATTCTCAGGTGCACAATACTAGTTTCCCAAGTCCTAGCCACCAGGGAGATGCTTGGGTAATTCTCCCATCAATCATGCTTGGAGGCAATAGTTGGATGTGGTTACATTTTAGAACTTTTCACAGACAGATCAGTTATCAACAAACTCCAGATTATGGTCCAATTAAACATAACCTGTTGGTTTGATTGGTGTATTTAGCAATGGAGTCAAGTTGCTGAAGGTGGAGCAGTAATTCCCTCTGGCTCTGGAAAACAAATTGATATCGGGAGACAGTGGTATAGTGGCACTGGACTAGTAATCCAGAATGCATAGATAATGCTTTTGAGGACATGGGTTCAGATCCAACTTCCACTAGTGGAAGTTAAGTCCAAAAGGCTAGATTTCAAAATGGTGACCGTAAACACCCATCAAGTTCACTAATGTCAATTTGCTACGCTTACCCAGTCTGGTCTACATGTGACTCCTGACCCAAAGCAATGTGGTTAACATTTACTTGCCTTCTGAAATTGCCTAGTAAGCCACTCAGTTTAAAGGCAATTAAGGATGGACAATAAATGCTGGTTCTGTAGCACACAGATCCCATGAAAGAATTGAAAAAAATGAAACATGGCTCCTTCATTTATATCATCCCCACTATTGAGCATATCATGTAGGAGGAGCATAGGAAGAGCCTATTCCATCATTTGTATTACATATTTGTTCATGTAGGCATTGCTGGCTACAACAGCATTTATTGTCCATCCAAGAGATCAGTTCAGAGTTAACCACAGTATGTGGGACTGGACACTGTCAGCCAAACCAGATAAGGGTGGCAGATTTCCTTCCCAAAATGACACCGGGGGACAGTCTTACAACAGTTGTCAGTGCTGAGATAGTCATCACTGGGCTTTCTTTATAGACCCAGAAATTTGAATTTTTATTGAATGCATTTTTCATGATCTGTCACAGTGGGATTTGAACCCATGTCTTCAGAATATTAGCCTGAAGTTCTGTATTACTAACCCACCGACAGTACCACTTCATCACCACTTCTCCTTAATTCTAAAAGATTGTAGCTCATCTATATCTTTAACCCTATCTACCCACTTTTATTTTCTTAACTCTGAACAGTTTTGTCAACTAAAAATCTATCAATCAATTTTTTTGAGATGTTTAATTGATCTCGTAGCATCAAAAACTTTTTTTGAGGGGGGTGGCAGTGGAAAAGCATTCCAAAAGTCCACCACCTCTTACGTAAGAAGTTCTTCCTGACATCACTGCAACTTAGCTTTAATTTCAATGTTATAACTGTGTGTTCTGGATTTCCCAATCAGAGAGCACAGTTTTTCTCTATCTCCTATTGAATCATTTAATCATTCCGAACATCTTAATCAGTTCAACCCTTAACCTTCAATAGTGACTATAAACTTGAACTTGCCTACACACAGACTCTTCTGTGTGAGATTATTTACCTCATGGTTAGCAAATCGAATATCGCGAGAATAAATGGCAGCTACCCAATCACAGCCCAACTTCAGGTCTACGCCGCGAGCTAATTTCTCCAGTGTGGCCAGGTGATTGGACTGGAAATGATAGGCAAGCGTGACATGGAGCTGCTTCTTGTGGGGTTCCACTTGCACATCTACAAAAGAATGAGGGAGAAAGAGAGACTAAAGAAATAAAGAGAAGGAAAAAGCACAATATTTATTTATGGGTGAGCCCACTGGAATTTATTTAGATAGGAACAGGGAGAGGTCATTCGGCTCCTTGAGCTTATCTCACTATACAACGAGATCATGCCTGATCTATCTTATAAACATGTTCACTTGCCTTGGTTTCCTATCCCTTAATGCCCTTGGCTAGCAAATATTGTATTTGTAGATGCATTTAGCAGGTCACGTATGACAGCCCAGGAGCAAAAGGTCAGAGGGAAGTAGAGAAATACAAAGAGAAAAAAAAATTCAAGACCTTTTATTGCACCTTTCACAACGCAGGAACATGCCAACACATTTACAGCTATTGAAGTACTTTGGAAGAGTTCTCAGTGTTGTAATGTAGAAAATCAGCAAACATTCTGTGTACATCAGATCTCACAGTCAATACAATGGTGACCAGATCATCTGTTTTTAACAATGTTGATCATGGGTTAAATTTGATCCTCAGGACACTGCAGAAAGCTACCCCAATCAACTTCCAAATAGTTTCCATCTAGCTCTCAATACTGGATTGGGAATTTCAGCCTGACTTCTGAAGTCAAATATCTAAATCAGGACTTTTTTTTAAAATGTTATTCACGGAATGTGAGTGTCATTGGCAACACCAGTATTTGTTTCCCACCCTGAGTTGGACCCACAGCCCTCTGACTCAGAGGTCAATATGTTGCCCCCTGGGCTCTGGTTGATCATGGTGAATATGGACATCAATATTCAACTCCAATCATCTGATTGTAATTGAGATGTTCTAGACTAAAGTGATTTTTAAAATAGACAAATTCTGACCTAAAATGGCTGCTGTGATTAGATGACCATAGACTGAGGCAAGTGCAGGGAATATATGCTGAATACAGTAAACCAGCAGCATCAAAGTTATAATTTTATCCAAAAATAGTGAAACCACTCAGTTCTGAGGAAGGGTCACCAGACCCAAAACGTTAACTCTGTTTTTTCCTTCACAGATGCTGCCAGACCTGCTGAGCTTTTCCAGCAACTTTGTTTTTGTTCCTGATTTACAGCATCCGCACTTCTTTCAGTTTCAATTAAATTGGCATCAAGAAATTGTCATCTATTGTTTAATTCATACATGAATAATAATCCAAAGTATTGGGAAATGAAAGGTTGCCTGAAGAGTACTCAGCTTGCAAAAAACAGTGGAGCTGGACTTGGAATTATACAGATGGACCATATTTCAGTAACTTGCTTGGCACAGGCAGAAGAGAAGGAAATATGGATCTAAAACCAGAACTTGGAGGGTTTATTCTCTCTCTTGTTCTTGCTTTCTCTCACCTTCGGAAATCAGTGTCCAGGAAAAAGTCACTGGAGAAAACAATAGCTCACCAAGAATTCCATAATTCTACAAATCTCACTAAAGCTGAGAAAGCAAGACAACGGTTAAACAGTGTTGAACTTAGGTTTCACAATCAGAACTCAAGGGATGCATAAAGAATAAACTGAATTTGTTTTCATTTTCTTGTTTGTACTAGATACCTTCCCTACCCTCTCTTTTGAACTCATTACATGTATTTGTGTATTTATTCCGATGTTGTGTTTTATTATTATTTTCTTTCAGGGTTAATAGGTAACAAAATTAATTTTTTCTTCACTGAAGAAAATCTTAGTATTTTGCTCCTTCACATTCTAGCAAACTATTCTTGAATGAATGTTTGCTCTAACAGATCAAGTCCAATTTCATCCTTGCTCACATTCATTGCCTTTGGTAACATGATGTTTAATGGGCAGTGATATCAGATTTCCCACCTGCTTTACTTGCAGCTTCTGATGCAAAATCTGCAGCAAATTTCTTGATGATTTCTGCACTCTGCTCCTCCACAAAGAGGCCGATAAAGTTTGATGAAGTGTACAGCTCCAGGGGAAGGGGGAGAGGAAAGGTCTCTTTCCAGCGGCTCACTGTGTTCTGCAAAGCTTCACAGAGACCATCTATTTTACTGTCCTCACACTGAAACAGGAACAACAGCAGCCAGGTCAGTCTCACTTACTATCAGATCCAGGGAATTGAGCAACAAATAGCCACTCCCGTCCACCACTACTCCTGCATTATTATAGAACTCAGTGACCCATTAAACCAACACTGCCATAGAACCCAGTGACACATTAAACCAACACTGCCATAGAACCCAGTAACACATTAAACCCACACTGCCATAGAACCCAGTAATACATTAAATCTTTTTCTGAAGAAGGGTCTAGGCCCGAAATGTCAGCTTTCCTGCTCCTCTGATGCTGCTTGGCCTGCTGTGTTCATCCAGCTCTACACCTGTTATCTCAGATTCTCCAGCATCTGCAGTTCCTACTATCTATGATACATTAAACCCACACTGCCATAGAACCCAGGGATATCCCTCATCCCACAGACTTTTTATGCTTTTAATAGTCACATTTTCTGCTTTATTCACACTAGTGTTTCCAATGCTGACATGGATAACAGCACTATCATATTAAGAGAGTCCAAAAGGCCTTGGTCCAAAAGACCATGGGTCAGTGCCTGGGCCGTGCTGAAATTCCCAAGTCAAAGAAGTGGAGGAATTACAACCAGGCTCCACATTCCTGGCATTGGGAGAGGTGAAAGCAAAATTACACCTAAGATCTCAAGCAGTGATCATGAATCCTATGTGTGACTCCAAATAACCTGCTTAATTTCAAGGATGGGACACATGAACTTTACATCACAGGGCAGCTGGTATCTCTGGAAATCTATAGCCCAATATGAGCCAGACACGAGAAAAAAATAACTTTTAACTCCCCTCCTCACTGTCAAATGATCCTCTTCCAGCATAGGCACAGGATGGGCTGAATGACCTCCTGCTGAACTATTTAATCCTCGATTTATATTTAACACTTGAGTCTCCGCAGAACCTAGCTCTGAAAATCCAAATCACTCACCATGAAGAACTGGCAGAGGGTGATATGGGGGAAGATGTTGTGCGCCTTGTTTTTGCCACACGTTTGTCGTGACTGATGCCAGTACTCAAAAAGCTTGTTGGCCAAAGGTCCAGTGGGACGCAGGTAAAGAACATATTCCCGAGGAAGAGGGTCATCCAAGAAGGGGTCGTCGACATGTGAAAACAGCCTAGTATGAAGGAAAAGGTGGAAAAGAAGAGATTGAAAAGCGTTTTCTTACGTAAGAGATGGCATATTGCAAATGTCACTTTAATTTACAGCCATGCCAGGTTACTTTTAACAATCAGCTGTCAGATTCACAGAGAAGAAAAATCAATGCGGTGCTGTTCAGTCAACTCTCAGCCAGGACTGACTTGCCACAACCTCCCCCTCCAAACGAAATCAATTGTTGTAATAGAACAGAAAGGAATTAAAGCCATTAGCCAACGGAGTGCTGTGGAGAAACAAACTTCCTGGTTGTACACAAGCACTGGGGGATTCATGGAGTAGTCAATCAATTTGGCAACAATCTGTTTCAATATATCTTCCTGTTTTAGTGTGTAAAACACAATGCAATCAATCATGCAGTAATCCTCTTTACAGGAGCCTCAGTAATTGCTAAGATTGCATTTGGATTTTCATGAACCCTCTCCTTGGCTAAAGAAAACTGAATCTGAGGTGGTTCATGTCCATCCACAATGTCTCAATCTTCTCTGTGTCCTGGGTCATCAATTATACTAGTATCAGTAAGAGTGACCACTGCACAGTCCTTGTGGAGACAAAGTCCCACCTTCGGATTGAGAATACCCTCCATTGTGTTGTGTGGCACTATCACCGTGCTAAATGGGACACACTTCAAACAGATCTAGCAACTCAAGTCAGGGCGTCCATAAGGCACTGGTGGCCATCAACAGCAGCAGGATTGTATTTTCCAATACAATGTACAATCTCGTGACCCAGCATATCCCCCACTCAATCATTACCATCAAGCCAGGGTATCAGCCCTGGTTCAATAGAGAAAGCAGGAAGGCATGCCAGGAGCAGCACCAGGCATACCCAAAATTAAATGTCAACCTGGTGATGCTACCAAACAGGACTACTTACATGTCAAATAGCATAAACAGCAAGTGACAGAGCTAAGCGATCCCATAACCAATGGATCAGATCTAAGCTCTGCATACCTGCGACATCCAGTCGTGAATGGTGGTGGAAAATTAAACAACTTACTGCAGAAGGACGTGGCTCCACAAATATCCCCATCCTCATTGCTGGAAGAACCCAGCACATCAATGCAGAAGATAAGGCCGAAGAATTTTGCAGCAATCTTCAGCCAGAATGGCTTAGTGGATGGTCCATTTCGGCCTCCTCCAGTGGTCCATAGATACAAGTCTTCAGCCAATTCAATTCACTCGACGTGATATGTACAAACAGGTGGAGGCATTGGATACTACAAAGGCTATGGGCCCTGACAACATTTCAGCAATAGTACTGAAGACTTGTGCTCCAGAACTTGCCACTTCTCTAGCCAAGCTCTTCCAGTACAGATACAACACTGGCATCTATCCAACAATGTAGAAGATTGGCCAGGTATGTCCTGTATACAAAAAGCAGGATAAATCAAACTCAGTCAATTACTGCCTTGACAGTCAACTTGAGATCATCAGTAAAGTGATGGAAGGTGTCATCAACAGCACCTGCTCAGCAATAACCTGCTAAACCTCCCAGTGATCAATGCAAGACTCCAGGCTGTGGCTAGGCCTAAGTGCCTGGATCGGTGGTTCCAAACACCTTTATGGATAAGACTTAGACTTTAAGATCTTACCATTTGGCTTTCTTTAATTTCTGCTGTGTTTTTTTTAAATTATGGTTTTGTAATCAAGATGGCAGTGGTGAATGGTGACTTTGCACACTTTTCACTGTACTCATATATTCCTATACTTGAGTTACGTGACAATAAAATCAAACTCTAATTCTAATTCGAGTTTGGGTTCCACCAGGGCCACTCAGGTCCTGACCTCATTGCAGCCTTGGTTCAAGCATTGCTAAAAGAGCTGAGTTCCAGAGGTGAGGTGAGACTGACAGCCCTTAACATCAAGGCCACATATGATCAAGTGTAACATCAAGGAGCCCAAGCAAAACAGGAATCAATGGGCATCAGGGGGCAAACTCTCCAGTGGTTGGAGTCATACCTGGCAATAGGAAGATGGTTGTGGTTGTTGGAGGTCAGTCATCCCAGTTCCAAGAGTTCCTCAGGGTAGGCCCAACCATCTTCAGCTGCTTCATCAATGACATTTCCTCCATCATAAGGTCAGAAGTAGGAATGTTTGCAGATGATTGCACAATGTTCAGTGCCATTCATGAGTTGTCAGGAACTGAAGGAGTCCACGATCAAATGCGACTACATGTAGACAATATCTAGGCTTGAGCTGACAAGTGGAAAGTAACATTCGCACCACACAAAGGCCAGGCATGACCATAAGAGACAATCTAACTACCATTCTTTGACATTCAATTGTGTAACCTTCACTTAATTCCTTACTATCAACATCCTTAGGGTGACCATTGACAATTAACTCAACTGGACTAACCACATAAATACAGTGGCTACAAGAGCAGGTCAGAAGCGAGGAATACTGCAACAAGTAACTCACCTCCTGAACACCCCCCCAAAGCCTGTCCAACATGTACAATGCACAAGACAGGAGTGTGATGGAAAACTCCCCACTTGTCTAGATGGGCGGGCATCAACAGCACTCAAGAAGCTTAACACCATCCAGGATAACTAAGCCTGCTTGATGAGCAAAGAGTCTAAAGAGGGATTTAGGCAGTTTAAATATGTGGGCAAAAAATTGACAAATGAAATATAATGTAGTAAATGTGAGGTTGTGGACTTTGGAAGAAGAATAGAAGAGTGAACATTATTTAAATGGGGAAAGGTCGGAAATCAAACGACACCAGGTTATAGTCCAACAGGTTTATTTGAAAACACAAGCTTTCGGAAGCCTCACTCCTTCTCCAGGGCAGTGAGGAATGAGTAACAAATGCTGGCCTGGCCAAGAAGACCACATCACATGAAAGAATAAAGAAAAGTAAAAGCTTTTGACAAAACAGCAGAAGATTGTTGGTGATAAGGAAATAATATAGGAAAGACGCATCACTTCGCACACTCACCTCCCAAAGTTACTGTCTGCTTTAAGATCAACACGATAACATTGACAATTTCAGTTTTCCCCACAAAGACACGTTTGAGGTAGTGGTCTCACACAGTTTCAAGTTCAGTTCATTGATTTACTTGCAGGATTTTGACTGGGATTGTTTTGTGTGGGCTTTTGATGGAAAGTCTCATTAATAACAGCCGACGGTGAAAGCCAGTGTCTAATCCTAAGAATCTGAGAACGCATTACTGCAGTAGATTGTACATTAATTCACTAAACGTAAAGCACTGTAATATCCAGACTACAAAGAGATTCAGCACACACATAACAGATAAACGTTTCCTTTTTGAAAAAGCTTTTCTTGGCATATATGCTCTACTCCTGCATTTTCTTTAACAGAGCACTTGCCACCTTGGAGAGAAAGACACAGAAGGCTAACCACACTAGCCACATCCTGTGAGTATAGATGCAGTAATTGTAGACAGTTAAGGGATCCCCTGAGTACAGCACTGAAGTCGACACAGCAGGAAACACTCAGTAGCCTGGGTTGGCCTGGTTAGTGCTGCTATGTGCTTCAAATCGATAGTGGTATTAGCAAGGGTTATACCTAGAACTGCATTATGCAATAGCACCTTCCCTCAATTTAGATTTTTGAATTTTTCTGCCAGCTTCCTCCATGTTAACTGGCCTCCTTTTCGGGCCACATGCCGTGTATAGCCCTCATATTCCTAATATAGTCTCAGTTAAGGGCAGAATTTAACCCACATCATTCAATTTTGAGACATTTTCTCACTTTTTGCAGATCTATTGCCCACAACTTCCAAAGATCTAAGCAATGCTGCCTCTAGACTGTGGATATCTCTGTACTAAAGACCCCTCTTCAGTATAAAGTAAAACATGGGCATAATATTGGGTCAATTGTCATCTGTGGATTGTATCCAAATGGAGTAGCTGCTTTGTCACAACAATGTATATGTTAAGTGTGCCTTTTACGTAGGTTTTAGGGCCACCTTCGAGGAGAGACAGGTAGAGAGATTTAATGAGGTTGTCCAAACTACAGTGCCCTAGGAAAATAGTATTTTCACACCCTGGGTCAGAAAGATTTAGGTTCAGGCCTCACTACAGACAACTCCAAACAGAAGAGTACTGGTTTTGAGTATTGGTTTCACATCTAATGAGAGTGTTTGTGTCCAGTGGCTGTGTATAGTCAACTGGCCAGCTTCTGTACTGTATCATTCTACACTTAACATTATAATGTTATAAAGAGACATGTCTCATGACCAGGAATAATTGGAGCTTTCTTCCAACTGTAGTGTATATTCCTCTTCATGACTCCAATCGGGCCCCAATATCCCCAGCCCTTTTGGAAGAAAGAGAATTCCAGATTTCTGCCACTGCCCCTACGTGGAAAAGTGCTTTCTGACTTCTCTCTTGAATGACCTGGCTCCAAATTGAAGATCTTGTCACCTAGCTCTAGGTTCCCTCATCAATGGAAATAGTTTTTCTGTATCCATGCGATCTAATTCTCTAATTGTTTGAAACTATTTGCTCTTTATTGTGTGGGGATAAAGAATTGTACAATTACATCCTTCCTCTTTTGAGTAGAACTTTTACTTGGAGTTCATAGGGAGTCTCCGGTCCGGGGAACCCAAGTGAACCAGAAAGGATTCCACTTCCACAATGTTCAATTTGCCTTAAATCTAGGTTTGCAATGAGAATGCAAGTATCATCAATTGTCTCTAGAAATTAATAAATTATATAAAGGATTATCAGATCACAGTACAAGTTAAAGCTGCAAGAGAAAAACAGCCAGCTGCATTTGTAGATATTAATCTCATACCAACCAATCACAAGCTGCCTGGACACTCTTCCCGCCTGTGGATGCTAACGCCTTTAGTCTGGAAGAAAAAGATGAAAGAGAATTGTTAACACACTAGATACTAGATGGACTCTCTCGATTTCTGCAATCAATTATTGGCACATTGCAGTCCACGCAGATTCCACCTGGACAAAGGAAAATCGTCACCAGATCCTGATTTTATTTGTCAGCTAAGCAGCACTGGAACAGGTCATCAAACAGCAAGCAGAATGGTTCAGTTCTTGACACAGTCAGTCAGTCAGTGCTGAAACACTCAAGCCTGTTACAAGCATGAAGAAAATAACCTCATAAAAGCTTGTGCTTGAAATACTATCCAGCTCCTCCTCACAGCAAGGACTAAACTTTCTGATGAGTTTCAGCATCCATCCTGCAATATTTCAGAGTAGATAGAAAGTGTGACCAGAATGCAATGAATCTTTTTGTGACATTCTATGCTAGAAAAAGATGATCAGTGGCCAAGGTTGATATATTACCCACTGATCCTTGGTGAGAGTGGATCACTCAATGCAGGTCCAGTATCTCCAAGTGGATTGAATAAAATATACCCTGGCTTTCTCCCATCGATTTTCTCAAGGTTATTTACATTACCCTCCAGTTAAATGGGTCATCTTATACTCTGCTGAGCAGTGCTTTTTACTGGAGAGTACATCAGATAAATACTGTTTAATTATCCTTGCAGGTTCCTTACACCCATGTCACAGACTACTAACAAACCATTTGAGTTTTATTCTCAACCTCATCCCATCCCAATCCCTACTAAGCATAGCTGTTCATGAGCAGGAACTATCACCTGTAGATTATAGAAATTTATAAGACACAATTCAGGACCTCAACACATCCCAAACCATTTTACTTCCAATTAAACACCTTTAAAGATAAGTCAATTTTCTAATAAAGTAAAATAGCAGGCAAATTGACACAGCAAGATCCAACAATCAAGACTGTGAAGATGACCATCTGTTTTTGAGTGGTGTTAGCTCAGGAATATGTATTGGCCAGGGAACCTGGGAGAATTTTATTGCTCGTCTCCAAAATAGTGCCATGTAATCTCTCAGTCCACCCATGTTTAAAATCACACCCAAAAGATTGCACAGTGTTGCACTCCCTCAGGTTTTGTGCATGAGACTTGGAGCCAGGGCCCTCAAACTCTAAGGCAAGCAAAGAATGAACCTGACAGAAGGAAGGCTGACAGAGTAGAGAGAAATAAAAACGGTAAATGCTGAATTACTAAGGACCAGGCAACATCAGTGGTGAGAGAAACATTAACATTTCAGTTTGATGTGTTAGATCTCAATTTATAGCTATTCAGATAATAATCTGCCTTCCTGTTTTTGCTACCAAAGTGAATAACCTCATATTTGTCCACATTCTACTGCATTCTTCATGTTTTTGCCCACTCATTCAGCTTGTCCAAATCACATTGAAGCATCTTTACAACCTCATCACAGCTTACCCTCCCACCCACCTTTGTGTCATTTTCAAATCTGGAGAAGTTACATTTAGTTCCCTCATCCAAATCATTATTATATATTCTGAATAGCTGGGGTCCTGGCACTGATCCCTGCCATACCATTATTGGGAGGAAATGGCATAGTGGTATTATTGCTGGACTGTTAACCCAGAGACCCAAATAACGTCCTGGGGACCAGAGTTCAAATCCCACCACAGCAGATAATGGAATTTGAATTCAATAAAAATATCTGGAATTAAGAATCTAATGATAACCATGAATACATTGTTGGAAAAACCCATCTGGTTCACTAATGCCCTTAGGGAAGGAACTTGCCATCCTTACCTGGTGTGGCCTGGCCTACATGCAACTCCAGTCCCACTGCAATGTGGTTGACTCTGAACTGTCCTATGGGCAATTAGGGATGGGCAATAAATGCTTCCTAGCCAGTGACGCTCTCATTCCATTAATAAAAAAAATCACTGCCTGTCATTCAGAAAAGTTTATTCCTACTCTTAGTTTCCTATCTGGGAATCAGTTTTCTATCCATCTCATTGCGCTACCCTTAATCACATGTGCTTTAATTTTATGCACTAATCTCTTATGTGGGATTTTGTCCAATGCCTTTTGAAAATCCAAATAATCCACCACTGGCTTCCCTTCATCAGGTCTAACATCCTCAAAAAATTCCAGTAGATTTGTCAAGCATATATCCTTTTTGTAAATCAATGAAGCCTTAATCCGATCCTGTCACTGTTTTCCAAATGCTTAGCTATTAATTCTTTTATAATGTGCCCTTGAAATTTTCCCACTACATCGTCAGGCTGAATGTCTTTAATTCCCAGTTTTCTCCCTGTCTCCCTTCTTAAATAGAGGGGTAGAGGGGTTATATGAGCAAACCCTCCAATCTGTAGGAACTGTTCCAAAGTCGGGAGAACCTTGAAAGTTGACAACCAACGCATCCTCTGTCTCTAGGCTGACTTCCTTAAGTACTCTGGGATGTAGATTATCAGGTCCTGAGGATTCATTGGATTCACTCCAACCCAACAATTTCCCCAACACCATTTCCCTGCTATTCTGATTTCCTTCAGTTTCTCCTTCTCATTAAATCCTGTGTTCCCTAACATTTCTTGTATGTTATTTGTGGCCTCCTTTGTGAACACAGAACCAAAGTATGTATTTCATTGGTCAGCTCTTTCTTTGTTTTCCCATTATAAATTTTCCTGTTTCTGACTGTAAGGGACTTACATTTGTCTTCAGCAATCTTTTCCTCTTCACATACCTATAGTGTACTGTCAGCCTGTATGTTCACTGCCATCTTACTCTTATGCTCTATTTTCCCTTTCTTGATCAATCCCTTTGTCTTCTTTTGCTGAATTCTAAACTGTTTGGACTTCTTGGGTCTGTTTTTTTTCATGCCAATTTGTATGCCTCTTTGTTGGATCTAATTTCATGCCAATTTGTATGTCTCTTTGTTGGATCTAATACTATCTCTAATTTCCCTTGTAAGTCATGGTTTGGCCACCTTTTTGAACAATTATTCCACTTTACCCATTTGCTTAATGAATGTTTACCACTGCCTTTCCACCACCATCCCTTTAAGTAACATTCTTCAATCAATTATCACCAACTCATACCATCACAGTTTCCTATTTTTAGATTCAGGAGCCTCCTCTCAGAGTCAACGAAATTTTGTCTCACAAAATTTGTTTGAGGTTTTTGAGAAAGTAACAAAGATGCTTGATGAAATTAGGGCAGCGGACGTTGTCCACATGGACTTTAGTAAATCATTTGAAAGGTTGGCAGGCTGGTCCAGAATATTAAGTCACACAGGATCCACAGTGAGTTGTTAAATTGAATACAAAATCAGCACAGAAGACAGAGGGTAGTTGTAGAGGCGTGTTTTTCTGACTGGAGGTCTGCGACCAGTGGCGTTCCACAATGATCAACGCTGGGACTTGTGTTTGTAATACATTTAAATGATTTGGATGAAAATGTAGGTGATCTGATTAGTAAGTTTGCAGACAGCATGGAGGTTGATGGAGTTATGGATAGTGAGGAAGAGTATCAAAGGATGCAATGGGATATAGATCAACTGGGAAGACTGGCAGAGAAAAGGCAGTTGGAGTTTAATCCAGACAGTTGTGAGGTGATGCATTTTAGGAAATCAAATGCAAGAGGAAAGTGTACTGTAAATGGTCAGACCTTAGGAGCATTGATATAAAGAGGGATCTTGGAGTACAAATCTATAGCTCCCTCAAAGTGGCAACACAAGTGTATAAGGTGGTCAAGAAGGCATGCAGTATGCTTGCCTTCATAAGTCAGGGCATTGAGTATAAAGGTTGGCAAGTCATGTTACAGCTGTATCATGACTAACTAAAGTTAGGCTACCATTGGAGTGCTTTATGCAGTTCTGGTCACCACACTATTATGTGAGGAAGTATATGGAGGCTGTGGAGAGGGTACAAAAAAGGTTTACCAGTGTGTGGTCTTGATTGGAGTATAGTAACTACAAGGAGTGGTTGGACAAACTTGGATTGTTTTCTCTAGAGTGTCAGAGGCTGAGGGGCAACCTGATAGATGTATATAAAATTATCAGAGGCATGTATAGGGTGGATAGTCAGTATCTTAACTCCAGGGTGGAAATGTCAAGTATTAGAGGGCATAGATTTAAGGTGAGACAGGGAAGGTTTAAAGGAGATGTGCGAGGCATGTTTTTTTATACAACGGGTGATAGGTGCCTGGAACACGCTGCCAGGGGAGGTGGAAGAAGCTGATACAATAGCAATGTTTAAGAGGCATTTAAACAGGCACATGAACAGGCAGGGAATAGAGGGATATGAACAATGCGCAGGCACATGGGATTAGTTTGGAATGGTGTCATGGTCAGTGAAGACATGATGGGCCAACGAGCCTGTTGCCATGTTGTACTGTTCTATGTTCTCTATTTCAGTTTGTCAGTTTGATAAAGGATCATTTACCAGAAGCCTCATGTGGAAACTTGTGCTGCTCCCAGGAGCAGTATAGATGTGGGCAGGAGAACTTAATTTGGTAGGAGACCAAAGTTTAGAACCCTTACAGTTGAATGAATGTTTGCAATCAAGTTCTCTGAACTTTAAAAAGCAGGTTGAGTTTCCCAACAGTAAATGTCAAGAAGTCCTTTTGCATGCATTTGCATAACATGCATGCTTACTGAAAAATCAGCTCACCAGAATTAAGTTCCCTGTCTCATTAGGTTTGTCACAAATGAGTAATTTGTGCCTTCCCATACATAGATGCATATATGAGGTGTGCATGCCAGCTAGGTACTTGACTAACTGTGGACGTTAGAGGCAGTAACTGCTTCTTTATCCTATTTGGGGAGCATTCATCCTTGCCATGCAATGATTGTGATCGGGTCATGAAGAAATTGCATAGGGTATGGAAGATAAGTGAGATTGGAGGGTAATGTGCACTAGTTAGGGACAAGGCTGGCTGGCTGACTGGGGACGAGTGTGCAGAATGTTTATTGCCTGTCGAAAAGCTGGTGTGATACTTCTAGCTCGCAGAGAATGAATGAAGGATCTCCG